TAAACATTTAAATCAATTAAATAAATGAAATACATTAAATAAATAAAAAATTTATTAACTAAATTTTTTGAACTAATTAAATAAACTGAACAAATCACCCTATACCCTATATAACCCTATATAACCCCATATAACCCTCTATAACCCTCTAAACCCTCTAGACCCTATAAACCCTAGGCCCTAATTGAGGCAAACCGAAGGGCCGCAGTGCTTTTCAGGTTCAGGATGGTGCAGAGTTTAGGGCTTTCAGGGTGTTTAGGGTTTTTAGGGGTTTAAAAGTTTTTAAGGTTTTTAGTGGTTTTAGTGTTTTTAGGGTTTAGGCTTTAGGGCTTTCAGGGTTTAGGGTTTAGGGCTTTTAGGGTTTAGGGCTTAGAGTTTTTAGGGTTTAGGGCTTAGGGCTTTTAGGGTTTAGGGTTCTTTAGTTTAGGATTCCTTTTGGGCTCTGTTTAGGGATTTAGGTTTAGAGGTTTAGGGTTTAGGGTTGAGGCTTATTTAGTTTAGGATTTCTTTTGGGCTCCTTTTAGGGATCTGCAGGGGCAGGCTACAGGTTCTCCAGGGCAGCTTGGGAAGCTTCAGGAGAATTTAGGGTTCGGGGGTGGTTCGGATGTTGGCTTCGGAGTTGGATTTAGGGTTTAAGGTTCAGGGTTCTGGGGGGTGGGTTTGGGGTTCAGGATTTTTGCTTCGGGGTTGCTGATTCTTGCAGATCGTGGCTGAATGTGCATTTGAGCCCGGGGCCAAGGCGACGTCGGGTTTTCGGTGCAGCAGGGTAACATGGAGTTGAGGGCTGGGGAGGTTGAAACCAAGAACCCCCGAACCCTAAAGTATAAGCCCTTAAAACAACCCTAAACCCTAAACCCAACAACCCCCAAACCCTAAACCGCAAACCATAAGCCCTAAACACTAAACTGTAAGCCCTAAACCCTAAACCGACAAGCCGAAATCCGAAAACGGCTGAGCGCCGTATGGAACCCTTGCAAAAGCCTCGTAACACCCCAGGAGGTCGTCGGCTAAGCTAGTATAGTGGCCTTGACAATTAAAATAGGGCTCCTCTGAAGGGGTGGCTTGTTCTTTCTAACTATATTTTTGCCTATTTATTTGTTTATATTAACATAGCAATGTGGTCTGTAGTGCTTGAAGGTTAGGGTTCTAGAGTGATTTCGGGTTGTTCGCGATGCAAGGCCGCATTGAAGGTGCGATAGGGCATGTAACAGAACTTTGAATTTCCTTTTGCACTGTATCGTAAAGGCAACAAGCACTTGCCAATTGCCAAAGGGTAGCTTATCCAAAAAAGCAATACGAGGGCTGTGGGGGTATGGTTGGTTTGTGTTCAGGAAAGACACTCTTCGGAGAAACGTAGAGTTACACAATAGGAGGCATCATTAAGTTCGTAAAAATAGCAGCAATAAATAAGACTAATCATTGTAGTAATCATAGCTGAAGGGTAGAAGAAAGATTCGAGGCACTCCAAACTCCAAAAGCCCTTGAGCCCCGAGGCCTTCCAGGCACTGGCAGCCTAAACCCCGACCCTCAACCGGATGGGGGCTTCTGTCACAAGTTAGGGTTTCGTGTTCACGGTCCAGGGCCTAGGGTTAGGGTTTTGGGGTTGCCAGACTCTTCAGCCCTAATTGTCAACACCTGAAGCTTTGCCCTAGAACCACAAAAACTCCAGTATCCTTTGCCTTAAATTGTAGTAGGACCGGCCTTTAATTGTAGTAGGACCGGATCCCAAATATGATTTAACGTATATTCCTTAAATTAAGGGGTATTGGAGTCTCTGCGAACCGCAAGACCCGAACTCCTCTCGCCATTTTTCCGGGGAGCAAGATGCCAACGGGCCGCCAGCTTCCAGCAAAGGCCCTTCCCAGCATCCGCAGAGGCCCCCCTCGACTGGACGCCGCGCTTCCCGCAGCCTCAGCTTCTTCAACCCTACACCCTCCCTAAACCCTAAACCCTAAACCCTAAACCCCTAAACCCTAAATCAAAGGTTCCGGGAGGGGGCATCCGGATTTCAGGGCCAAGGGATTGAGGATTTGCTCTCCCGAAGGTCTTAGGGGGGCGTCAGGGGTTCAAGGTCTAAGAGTATCAGCATTCAATTTGTTTGAGCTGGAAGGGGTTTAAGTTTAGGGTTTAGGGCTTACAAGTTTAGCGTCTCAGGTTGTGGCCCTTAAAGGGTTGGGTTTGTTTAGTGTCCAGGATTTAGTCTTTCGCGGATGAGGGATGAGAGTTAGAGGATAGAGGGTTGGCCTTCTGATCTCTGCAAGGACCACAAAATGCTTTCTTGCATTTAACCGCCGGTGCTCTGCGTGGATTGGGCTAGCCTGCAAGTGGGAGGCAGCCAAAGTCGTCTCGAGCGGTTCTTCCCCAAGGTCCGATTGTGGCGCTGTGCGTCGGGCTCTCCAAGGACGCTGCATGCAGAGAGATAACGGTGCCGAAGCGCAAAGATGTAGGCCGACCATCCAGCAACTCAAGCCGCGCCTAAAGCCCGTAGTCTCGCAGTCTCCTGCTCCACCATCCCGAGGAAGGCTTCCGTTGCATCTTCGCTCTCCTTGACGTTCTCCTGGGTTCTTCTTAAGGGATTTAATTTAGGTTGCCGTAATAAGGAAACCATATTGCTTACTATAGATCCCTATTATGGTAACTAAAATTACATCCTTCAACAAGAACCCAGTCTCATGCGTGCCGCTGGTGAGATGCAGGAAATGCCTGGCAAAGTGCTTATCGTTGGGCCAGATCTTGCACTTGTCGGAGTCCGTGGTAACCCAGTACGCAGCTTTCCTGAAGAGGCTTGGGGTTACTGGGGTTTAGGGTGGAGGCTTACTATCAGGCTCTTGGATTTCAGGGCTTGGGCGGTTAGAGCCTCCGAGCTTAGGCATATCTGGTGAAAAAGTAGACGCCTGATTCATGCACCCCGCTTGTTGAAGGCCCCTAGCATCAAGATCCCCCTCATCATCCAGTCTGTACATTCAGTCCTGATAATGCCCTGATAAACCTTATACTACCCTAAGCCCTAAACCCAATACTGTAGACTATACTACCCTTGTAGAAGTTTTGTGGAGCCAAGAAAGCATGTTTCTGAAGGCCAGACAGGTGAACCCCTAAAGCCTATGCCCTAACTCCTACACCCTGACTCCTACACCCGCACCTTCAAAAAAAAAACTAGACTCTGAGGGCTTCGCTACCGACATCTCCTCTAACAACAGAACACAAAACCCTAACCCTAACCCCTAAACCGCTAAACCCTAAATCCCGAAACCCACAAATTCCCTCAACCCCCAAATCCCTAAATCCCCCCCAAACCGCCTAAAAACCCCTAAAGGCCCGAAACTTTTCCGAAACTTTTCTGAAGTCCTAAATCCCCTATTGGCCCCTTAAAACCCCTAAATTTCTGGAGTTCCGGGGAAGTCTCCGCTCTGGGATGGAGCTGAGACGGCAGAGCAAGAGCTCCGACTCCAGGCGGCTCGCGAGCCTCTCCTGGGCTCTGTGAGGACACAGGGATTTAGGCTTTAAGGGTATATATTATACAGGGTCCTTTAAAGGGTATATAAGGTGAGGGGCCATAAGGCATCTATAATAAGGTTTCGGCTTTAAGGTGTTCTTGAAGGGTTTAGGGTTTAGGGGTTCGGCTTGTTTAGGTTGAAGGTTGAGGCCTTTAGGGTTTGGGGTTGAGGGCTTAGGGTTTAGGGTGTTGAAGAAGGTGGGGCTTAGGGTTTAGGGTTGATGGCTGCGGGGCTCCAATATTCCACCCTTCTGGGTTCTCTTGGGTTTTTTGGATTTCGGGGCTGTGGCTGGGGCCATACTTACCTTTGGTTAGTAGAAAGTGGAAGAATGGTAGTAATGTTAGTTATACTTGTACCCCTTTCCTCCATTCCCTACTAACCAACGGTAAGCATAAGGTTCTCGCGTCTTCGAGTTTAGGGCTTTAGGGTTTCGGGTTCAGGGTCGTGGGCGGAGGCCTTTGAGGTTTAGGGTGAAAGGTTCATGTGGGTGGTTGTCAAAATTACGGTCCCTTTTTGGGTCCTTCATCTAATACGGCACCTAATATTTAGGGTACCCAAAAAGGAACCCTAGTTTTCATAACCACCCATGTAAGTTTCCAGAGGGGGGATGCAAACAGCGTGTGCACCTGATTCTGGTAGCTTCACCACTCCTCCACTCCCCAAGCCTCCTACACGGCCTGGGGAAGTGTGGAGGCAGCAGATGCACTGAGAGCTTGCATGTATACCCTAGACCTGTCTTAAACTCTAGAGCTACAACCTAAACCATAGTTCCTAAATCCTCACCTAAAACCTTAAACTGCCTTAAACACTAATCCTTGAACCCTAGGCCCTGCATCCTGAACCCTACGCCTGAACAAAGAGCTTTGAAATCCTAAACTCTAAACCTGAGACCCCAAGCCCTATACCTTAAACTCTACGTAAACCTTAGACTCGAAACCCTATACCCTGAACCCCCAAACCCCGAAACCCCGTTCCCAAGCTCTAGAACCAGCTTCGAGCCAGTCGAGGCCAAAGGCATCGTGGCGAATTGCAAACAGCCCGAAGGGCCACATGTTCCTGGGCTCGCGGTTTTCCTTTAAAGGGTAGCAGAAGGATTCCTCAAGGATTCTTTAAAGGGCTGTAAAAAACAAAATACGAATAATTATCATAATACTAATAATAATAATAATTATTATTATCATAATAATAATATTGGGGTTTAGGGGTTCATGCTCCTCGGCTCAACCAGGGCTTGACCGCTGCTCAGGACTTGGGGTGTGGGGCCGCTTATGCTACCACAGTAGAGGTTAGGGCTTAAGCTTTAGGGAGAAAGGACACCTGTGGGGTTTGGGGTTTCGGGATTGGGATTACCGTGGCAACTCCACTCAAACCGAGGAAACCGCAGAAGCGGCTGTGGTAAAGAAGAAGCGTTTAGGGGTTTCGGGTTTGGGTTTAAGTGTTTCGGGCTTAGGGTGCTTCTGTGACTAGGGAAGCTGCATCTAAAGCTCCTCCACAATCCTGCATCTAAAGCTCCTCCACAATCCTAAACCCCAAACCCGAAACCATAAACTCAACCAGAATCCCTGAACCGCGAACCCAGAACAACACATCCCTATATCCCTTGACCCTAAACCCATAACATGAAGCCAGGTTCAGGAGGCTCGGGTCCCTGTGCCTGTCACGGAAGATGGTGGCATGAAATGAGGCCATGGCCTTCACCGCAGTGGCACACCGGGCCGTGCCCAACCCTCTTCCGTCGGTTCCGTTCCTTACTTGCCCAGTTCACTACGGAACTTAAACTCAAGGCTATCCTTTGAACCAATATACCATTATGTACTACTTGAAAATTCTTACGACCCCAACCTCGAGATCCTGAGACAGGTTCCTTCTTCTACTGAGGCTCTCATGCCAGGGCAAGGCGTCACAGTGCATCGGGGCCGGCGACAGCGGATCCCTGGCGGTGCAAGGTTCCGTCTGGGCCCGGAAGGCAGCGTCGGCATCAATGAAAAAAAGCCACGCACCCGGAGGGATACCTGGGCTCTTCTGAGCTCTTGTTAAAAGACTTAATCTAAGTTACCAAAATACAAAAACCATATTATCTACTATAGATCCCTATATGGTAACTTTGATTCCATTCCTTAACAAGAACCCAGTCTTGCTAAGGAACTGGTTGTTCAGTACAATAAGGAAAGGGACTATACTTTCGAGAGAGAGACAGAGAAAAACCTGCGATGTGCAGATATACATCTACATATACAGATACATATACATATAAGCATATGCATATATACATATACATATATACATATACATATACACATATACATATATTATACATATACATATACACATATACATATATATATATATATATAAATACATATATACATATACATATACATATATATATATACATATACATATACATATACATATATACATATATGTATACACACACACACCACGTCTATTCATTCAGTTTTTGCATTTGCACATACAACCTTACTCTAGTACCTTACTCTCATCTAAAGCTTCTTTGCAAGCACCCAGGGGCACTTCAATGCTTCAGCAACAGCCCTCATTTTGCCACAGCGCCGATGCCCCCATGTGATCTGCTTGTAGGGCACACCTCAGTGTGAAGTCCTGAACTCTACGCCCTAAACGGAAGGAATACTCTCAACTTCGACCCAAATTACCCTCAAGGCTAAATCCCTGCCTAAACCTTGAAAGACTCCGAACGCTAAACCCTCAACCCTAGTTGCTAACGATTAATGGCTAATGATTAGTGATTAGTGCTGGCTCCGAACCCTATAGACCCTAAAGTCCTAAAGCCGTCTGGGGTTTGGAAGCTCCTTCGCTTGACGAAGCTTCATCTTCAGAGCTACTTGAAGGGTCGGGGGACTTAGTAAGTAGGTAGTAAGTAAACTTATAATAATCCCCCTAAAAGGGGCCCTAATGGGGGTTATGGTAATGGTACTTATAAGTCCCTAAAATAACCAGTTACTGAGTCCCCCGACCCTCCAAGTAACCGGAAGCTGAGACCCCTTCCGGGATTTGGAAGAAAAGCCCCCAAGCCTGGACCTCCAATAGAGGGGCCTGAATAATTAGACTAGGGTTCCCCTTTAAAGGGTTCCTTCAAAGGGGTTACTACAAGGGGTCTATGGTCTACTTTAAGGGTTTAGTATAGGGGCCTTAATAATTAGAATCGGGTTTTGGAGCCCATCAAACTATAATTAGAAGAAGGAAGCCCCCAAAATAGTAGAGGCCCCCTTTTCGGGATTTGGCAGAAAACCTGGTAGCCTGAGCCCCGAAACCCTAATCGAGCTTGAAGATCGCGTTTGGAGTTTAGGTGTCTTCAGGCCTTTCCTCGAAGAACCCCTAAGTTCCAATTTTTTTTGGCAAAACTCCGCACCCCAGGCAAACATGGAAGAGCCCTGACAGCATGCTTTCCTGGCCCTGAAAGGAACCCTTAAAGGAGCCCTTCCAGCATCCCCCTTACTGGAAGAACAGCGAACCCTAAAACCCCTGAGACCGGAAACCCTCCACCCCACACTCTGAGCCCTTAAACCCCCTAAACCCCTAATCCTATGATAGATCCCTGATAGCCCCTTTTAAGACTCCTCCGACTCCTCCTTAAAAGGAACCCCTACAATACCCTTTACAGGAACCCCACCACCCTAAACCCGAACGCCCCAAACCCGAACACCCCCTCAAGCCAAAGTCGCCTGCCAGAGTCGCGAAAGCTTGGTGGTTGGCCCGGGTGGCATTCGCAATCCTCGGTTCTTGCGGGCCTTTAGGGTTTAGGAGTTTTGATTTGGGCTTTGGGGTTAAGGGTGCCAGTTCACCCCACTTGCTAAGAGGGCCTAGACTAGGCCTTTAGTCAAAAAGGGGATGCATACCGTTTTCTATGTATCGAGAGCGTGGTCTTTGCGATAATTAATGTCCAAGTATTTCAACCGAAACCGCCCTTCAAGAAGAGCTCAGAATCCGCGGCCACAGCGAGCTGAGCCCAACCGACCCGCCCTCCTGGGTGAAATAGGAGACGATGCCACCTGACCATCGTTTCAAGGGTTCAATTCACGGTTCGGATTTAGGACCTTGGCATCTTGAGTTCATATGGGATTCCCTACAGGGTTGGGGCTCCTTCTTGCGATCATCCCTAACAAACATATATTATCCTGTAACATCCCCGGTGAGGCCGTCAAAGCCCTCAAACTTCAAGCCACAAAACCCCAAACCCCCGAGAAGCGAAAAAAACATCAAAAATCATAAAATCACTAGCACGCTGAAAGACCCCAGCCAGAAAGCGGTATGCGGTATCCTTCTACGCCGCTTGGAAGCTGGAAGATCTCTAATCTCTATCTCCAGCTTTTGGTGCATTACTGGGAGGTTCATGGGCAATTATAGGTGAGGTTATAAGTCCACTACTTGGAGGGTCGGGGGACTTAGTAAGTAGGTAGTAAGTGGACTTGTACGTACCCTAAAAGGGACCCTAATTGGGGTTATGGTACTTATAAGTCCCTAAAATAACCAGTTACTGAGTCCCCCGACCCTCCAAGTAGTACGTGTTCTGACAAAGGCGACCCTACTTGCAACCCCCACTTCTTACTACACATGACCCTTCAAGTAGAGCCAAAACGCTAAACCCGCTGAAGGCACCCTAAACCCTGGACCTTTAAACTAGTTCATGGTTGGGATAGAATGAAAAATCGAAATTTTATTCCTTATTGGGTTTAAGTACCCATAAACATGTAAAATGTTACCCAACCCATGACAAAGCAAAGGAACCTTGAACCTGAAACCCAAAGTCTGAAACGGGGCTCTTTGGAGATCCGGCTTCTGGACTTTGGGAGGGCTTTTCAAGGGTATCAAAAGGTTCCTTATGCAATTTTGAATGGGGCGACACGGGATCTTTTATCAGGTTAGGCGTTTAGGGGTTTGAGGTTGAGGGCTTTAGGGGTTTGGGGTTTCGGCTTTCGGGTATGGGGTTGAGGAGCCCGGGGCTTAGGGCTTTGGGTTTGGGCGCGGCCTCAGCGTCTTGGCTTCTTTTCAGAGCTTCAAATGTGCTTGAAAATCTCCTCTCCCTCACCGCGCAGACCCTGACCCCACATCCTGAACCCTAAACCCCAAACCCCAACCCTGCACCCGCCTAACCGAAGAGCCTCCGGCATGCCAAAAATGGGGCTGCAGGACTCCGTGACCTCCTCGTAGTTGGCATAGAGGGGCTCGAACCGGAACTTCCTGGATTCTTGCTGACGGTAAGCAGCTCATCCTGCTTAAGGTTTCTTCGAAAGGGTTGTCAGGCCACTGCAAGGTTGAACCAGGTTTTGCAGTGCCCCTGTAGAGGTTCAACAACGTTATACGGCGTTTAGTAGGGTCTTGTAGGGGGTTGAAACGTACAATAGCGGCTACTTCAAGCTGCCATAACAGGTTACATCATCAATCGGATACTGTATTAGGAAAAATCTTGTGATACATTTCACTATACATATCTGTGTACAACAAGCAAAGCACTTCCCTTTTTGAGAAAACGAAGGGTTTATGTCCCTTCACGAGAGCCCAGCTTCTGATCCACGAGCTCGAGCACACCCAAAGCGCAGATGAGCAGCAAGAGGACCAGCAGAACCTGCAGCTCATCTCCAAGGGTAAAAGGAGGGACCCTTAATAAGGACCCCTAGGTATATACCCTTCATATAGCTATTATATACCCGTTATATATAGCCCAGTATGGGGTAGGGCTCCCCATTAAGGGTCCCTCCTTTTCCCCTTTGATCATCGTAAACCCTCCAAACCCCTACCCATAGCCCAGGAGATCTACCGTTGAAAGGAACATGAGGGGCATCTCCGTGAGGAAGCCTGAAACGGTAGATTCTTGCCCTTAGCCCCAGACAGGCAGGAAGTACTGGATCCCCTAGGAACCCAAAGACCACCAAACAAAACAGGCAGACAGATATTCGAAACCGAGAATCCTAAACCCATCATCCGAAACCGAAATTCCTAAGACCCCTAATCCTAAACCCCAATGCCTAAGCCGCTAAGCCGAATCCCGACCTCCAGGTACCCCTCAAATCTCAACCCTGAAGCCTCAAAACCTCAAACCCAACCCCAAACTCTCAAACAACGCCAATCCCTGAGGATCTTTCCAACTCTCCCTTGAACTGAACCTGATTGAGACACCCTGGGCCTAAAACCCCAAATAGTAGGATTCATATAAGGAACCCTGATGCCTCAACCCAAAGCCCTGAAACAACCCTCAAGCCCCAAAACCCTTGTGAAAACCTCTACACTCCACACCCGACCCTAACACCCAAACACCAGACAAACCCCAAGCTAAAACCCAACCAGCTTTCAGCCAAGGAAGCCGTTTGGGAAGCCCTTCATGGAACCCTTAAAGGAGTCCTCTGCCCTTATATGAACCTTTAAAAAACCTGATTGCCTTAAAGCCCTGAAACCCCCAAAACCTGAACCGCCTAGAACCCGAAAGCTCTCACACTTTACAGTGTACCATTATAATGCCCGCCGCAAGCAGAGAACCCTTCAAGGAGCCCTGAACAACCTTTAGCTAACCCTTACACCCTTAACCCTACACCTAAACCTTTGAAGGAACCCTCAAACGAGCCCTAGAATCCTCACCCTTTAAGAGCAAACCCCATTCACAGAAACCCTATGGTACCCTTTAAAAGGAGCCTTCAAGGGCTCCGTTAAAGGGATCTTTCAAGGCTTCCTCTCAGAAAGCCCTTTAAAGGGAGCCCTAAACACATCCCAAGGAACCCTGAAGCCTAAACCCTTTAAGGGAGCCCCTTGAAAGGGAGCCGTGAATTTAAGCCAAGGAAGCCACCACTAAACCCTAAACCGTGAACCCTAAGCCCCTAACCCCTAAAACCCTAAACCCTAAACCCCCAAACCCTAAAGCCCTAAACCGTGAACCCTAAGCCCCTAACCCCTAAAACCCTAAACCCTAAACCCCTAAACCCTAAAGCCCTAAACCCTGAATCCTAAGCCCCTAACCCCTAAAACCCTAAACCCCTAAAACCCTAAAACCCTAAACTCTGAACCCTAAGCCCCTAACCCCTCAACCCCTAAACCCCTAAAACCCTAAAACCCTAAACCCTGAACCCTAAGCCCCTAACCCCTAAAACCCTAAACCCCTAAACCTTAAAGGGAGCCCCAAAGAAAAGCCCAGGGAGCCGCAGGCCGAAGTCCGCCGCATTTTCTCCAGAGAGCTCGGCTCGGGGGATCCGGAGGCTTCCTCGACATCTCCGGGTTTAGGGCTTTTTTCTTTGAAGTGCAATGGGCTTAGGGTTTAGGGTTTAAGGGTTTAGGGTTTAGGGTTTAGGGGTTTAAGGTTTTTAGGGGGTTTAGGGGTTTAGGGTTTTTAGGGGGTTTAGGGTTTAGGGTGTGTCGATGCTCCGCGCACACCACCACGCGAGACGTGTGTTGTGGTGTGCGCCCAGGTTCAACGCTCTCGCCCTACCCGCCCACCCAGTCTATGACCTTTGTCGGGTTTAGGGTTTTTTCAAGGTTTGTGGCTTGGTCTGGCGGTGGCCCAAAATCAGGCCAAGCAGGGCAGTGGGCGGGGCAGACAGGGCAGCAGGGCAGAGCAGGGCAGGGCAGGGCAGGGCAGGGGAGCAGGGAGAGCAGCAGCAGGGGGCAGGGCAGGCAGGGCAGGGAAGGACGGGCCCCTGGGACAACTGTCCCGGGGGGGCCCTGGGACAACTGTCCCGGGGGGGGCCCGGGACAAGCGGAGGGTGGGGCGCAACAGTCCCTGGTCCAAGACCTGCCACAGCCAGGCCAGGGAGGAGGGCCCAGGCCGGCCCACCCAGGCAGGCGCATAGGCTAAATCCTAAATCCTAAACCCCAAATCCTACATCCTAAATTCTAAATCCTAAACCCTAAATCCTAAATCTTAAATCCTAAAAACTAAACCATAGATCCTAAATCCTGAATCCTAAATCCTAAATCCTAAATCCTAAACCCTAAATCCTAAATCCTAAATCCTAAGGGATGGGGCCCTCCGAGCTTGGAGGTTTAGGGTCATATTGTTCTGATTGGCTAGCATGCCTGTCGCATGCGCCAGCACCTGAGCCGGTGCTGGGGCTCCTTCGCTGCGCCTGTCGCGCCAGCTACGGAGCCAGCCTCACTGACGCTTCGGCACGCTCGCTGCTGCTATTCGCAGCGCCCGCAGCTCGCTTCAGTTTAGGGGTTTATAGGGTTTAGGGGTTTAGGGTTTAGGGTTTAGGGGTTTAGGGTTTTTAGGGTTTAGGGTTTAGGGTTTAGGGTTTAGGGTTGGGTCAGGGTTTGGCTTCGGGGGTTTACGGGTTTAGGAGTTTAGGGGCTTAGGGTTTAGGGTCTAGGAGGTTTTGGGGGTTTTGGAAGTTGAGGGTTTAGGGTTTAGAAACCTGCCTTGAAATCTCCACGGGTCCGTTTAGGTTTTGGCGGTTTAAAGGTTTAGGGGACTTTGGCGTTTCTGGGTTTAGGCTGCACGAACTTGAGGCTCAGGATGCAAGCTTTAGGGGTTGGGGGGTTGAGGGGTTTGTTGTTCAGGCTTTAGGATTTGGGGTTTGGGGTTGAGGGTTTAGGCTTTCCGGGTTTAGCGGAAAGTTTAGCGGTTGGGGGTTTAAAGGTTCAACATGGGAGTTTCCCAAAATAGGGGACCCTAATATAGCACCCTAAATAGTAGGATCCCGACTACAAGGACCCCAAAATAAGGTACCACCAATTTTCGGAAACTCCCATATCATAATGGCTTGCGCTGTTGTGGGATCTGATAGTTAAACCCCTGAGACGCAAAACCCGGCCGCCGTACAGCCCAGCAAAACCCCACCCTCTGAATCACCTTGGGGCTCTATTCGGGTTCCAAATCCTACTATTTTGGGACTATAGGACCAAGGTTTCTTAATCAGGTTCCTGCATTATCCTCGAACCTTCCAAAAGACGTAAACCCCAAACCCTCAAAACCACCTAGATAACCTCAAAACCTCGACTGGCTTTCTCATCGGAGCTCGCAACAAGATCTCGGCTGCCCTCCGCTGCGTCAGGATCTCCCCGTTGTTTCAATCGCTGCGTCAGAGGAACGCCCACACGGGTCTCCATCAAACGCCGAGACAAGGGTCGGGTTCCTTCTCAGGGTTCTCTAAGGGTACTGCAGTATTGGGGTTTAGGGGTTTAGAGTTTGGGGTAGGGATTCCTGAATATGAACCCTATTATGGGAACCCTAATCCCTACTAAACCCTCATAGGCTAAAAACCCCTTTTGGCCTCCTATGAGTATTGGGGTTTAACGGTTTGGGGTTGTGGAATGAAGACGATTCAAGATTTTGGCTTAGGCTACAGGCGTGGGATTCGTGCGTCTTTGTGTAAGTGGAGACAAACCCACATATCATACGGTCTGGAGCTTGGGTCTAGGCTTCTGAGTGGTCTTCGCGTCCAGCTTGTGCTTGAGAATAGGTCGGAGTGCAATGGTACCGAAGCTTCCATGTTTCTCGCCTAGCTCTGTTAGCTGGAGCCACAGCTGTGGTACCCGAAGCGAATCGTACTTACGTCTCCGTGAGCTGACATGGAAGCCCAAAAGGATGTAGTAGAGGGGCCTCAACTGATGATTAGAATAGGGCCTTGCGGTGTATTCTACTAAATCATGAACCCCAACATAGTATTGGATGTAATTTAGACCCCAATGCGCTGAACTTGCGGTGTTTGGGCTACGACAGGACTCAAACCAGAGGCTGCTGTGTTTAATACAGGGGCCTTACGAATTAGCATGTGGTTTTGGGGCCCATTATACTATAATTACAATTAAGGAACCCTAACAATAATCCCATTGTACTATAAATACAATAAGGAACCCTAACAATAATCCCATTATACTTTAATTGCAATAAGGAACCCTAACAATAATCCCAATTATACTATAATTACAATAAGGAACCCTAACAATAATGTTGGTAGTTATCTAGGCTTCTGTATTGAACGCAAATCCAGGCTCTCGGTGCTTTTGTTGAACCGAACCAACGCATCCTCTGCCACATGCATCTAACCCTGACACTGAACCCCTAACCCCTAAACCTACTACCGTGGGGTGACAAGTTTGGCTTTGGCCCTTGTTGAACTGGACAGCGTTCTTCTGCTTTCCAGCGGTAGCCTTACACTTTGGGTCCTTGGACGTGAGCTTTACATGTCATATGATTCAGCCGATCATGTCCAACCAAGATGGCAGCGGAACTCCCGAAGCCCATAGGTACTGTCCCGGAGGTAAGGTTTAGCATGTAGGATAATCGATGTCATGACTTCTTTCGACATCGACACCTCCAAGAAACCTCCTAGAGCAGGAAACCTTGCTGCGATGAAGGAACCTGCGAAGCTCTTCGGTGTTTTAACGCATCGCGCCCAGATGCAACCCGGTCGAGCCGGCCAGCAGGCTCGAGATACATTGTGGATGTACAATTCCTTGCTTTTCACAATTAGTGTTTAGGTTAGGCCTAAACCCCAAACCCAACCCGTCATTGCACATCACGCGCAGATCCAGCAGCCAGTCCGGCGAAACGGAGGCAGCGGTGAGATAGACCGATCATCGTAGCTGTACGGCTTGCTGGCAGGACAGCGTAGAAAGCTGCAAATCAAGTAGCGCGGCACTTTAACCGGCTGTGCTTGGACCGGCTGTGTGGCACATCCGGAGGCAAGACATGACAGTAGTAATGGTTAGAAGGAGTCATGTTCTGAGTCACTTTGATTTTCAACCGACAGGATCCAAAAAGTAGATCCCTTAATGGGGGTTCCTATAAAAAACCCTTAGTAGTATAGGGCCCCAAAGTAGGGGATCTACTTGTCCAGGACAGCTATCCCTCTTCTGCCCTCTTGGCCAGGGCCCTCTCCCTGACGAGCTCACGGATCACTCGCAAGCTCATGTATGTGCCTGAAACAGGTTTTTTTTTGTGGGCTCTTTTCCAACTGCAATACAGCTAGAATTCCTTACCAGGATGAGCCAGGTTGTTGGGAGGGTTTAGGGTGTAGGGTTTAGGGTTTAGGGTTTAGGGCCGTTCGCAAAATGCTGATGGCAATGCCAATGTCGGCTTAGGGAACTCTAACGGTTTAGGGCTGAGGGTTTGCGGAATAGCAATAGTAGCAATTACAAAGAGAGACAAAATCAAATGTCTCAGACTGTAGCAGCAAATCATTGCAGCAGCATAACACCAACACAGACTGCAAGACAAGAACACGAACAGTGTGAGCCTTAAAACCCGCAACCCAAGAAATGCGCTGCTGCCCTGCGACTTGAACTCCAGAAAACAACGAACTCAGACACAAGTGAAGTTGTGTAAAGTCACCAAGTTTAAGCTTGACATCATCAGTGTTAACATCGCAGCGATTCTTGTTACCCCTGTCATATGATTGTTGCCGGTATCCCGCTGTTACTATGGATATACTGACAGTAAAGCTATTCTTGGCGTCACGACACCACTTGCAGTCAAGCTACTGGCGGTTGCTACAACGACCAGTATTGATCCAATGATGCACTGCTGCGTCATGATAGAATGTCCCCAGTGGGACTCATTGGCCAACCTTAGCTCCAAGCGCGTCACTGCCCTGCCCTAAAGTAACGATGAATCAACCTCATGCAAGGCGTTCTTGGCGAAGCTTTCCACCCAATTTCTGGCGAGGGAGCTGCCAAAGAGTTAGGCATTAGAGATGATGGTTGTGAGCGCGACAAACGTCTAGGACTTTAATCGAACAGCGTTGAACCAAATAGGACTGAGTGTTTCTGACGACGTACAAGCATACTCTCATCTTGCTCTGGACTGCAGCCAAGCGCGTCTCATTTAGGACACTACTCGGTTGGGTGAGTTGTTTGGATTCAGGCTGAGGAACCGCCAAAAAGCTTGCTTTCACTTCTGCCACTTCACCTGATCCACTATGCTTGGGCTCTACAAAACAGCAGTGAGCGGCAGACCCCTCTCGGCGCGAAAACCAATGCCTCATGTAGCCTCATGCAGGACCCCGCGTGGCGCGTGGCGCGCAGATGACAACGACGGCCGGGCAGGTGGTGGACGTAGAAATTTACCACCGTGATGTTAGCGACACAAATAGTTAATGCAAACGATCATGAATATGCAAAGAATGACGAACATGGTGATACGTTAAGATGATGCGGCGAAAGAAGACAAGGAAGAGCTGCCGAAGGTCACTTCGGATTCTGGCCAGAGAACAAGCCGGATATCATTGTAATCATATACGCCGCAGCTGCCAGCAAGGCTCTCTCCGTCCTCCGTGCTCAGGGAGGGGCGAGACCCAGAGCTCAAGTACGTCATTCTCTATTGGATATGGACGGCAAGATCTGTCCCGACTACACGCTTAAACATAGCACAAACATAATCTCACAGCATTTGCCCTAGTGGATGCAGCTCGGACCTATGGAAACCTTTATACTATCGATGTCCATGTATGTCCCTGACCCCCATCGCCACCACATAGGAAGGACTTATATGTTAGCATTATCTGACTATCTGCTTCTTCTCCTGCAATGCAAAACAACAGTGAAACTTCTGCAATGCAGACACAAAAAAATCATGGCAACTGTACGCTGTTCGTGTGCTCCCCAGAGAAGCAGAAGAAAACAGAAGACGTTCTTTCTGTTTGCTTGACTACACGTCTTGACAAGAAACTCTCGTTTGATGAGTGAATCGCATTGCTGACATTGGGAACAAGAACGAGCACCCGAGTCAGTTTCTCTACAAAGCACAAGAAAGAAAGATAGAAAGAAAGATTCAAGTGGCAGGAACTCCTTCATGGGTGGAGTTTGATTTCGAACCTTTTCTTTGGTTTGGTCAATCTTTTCTTGCAGCTCGAGACCTGCAGAGGGAGCATCCTGCGCAAATAGTAGGACGCGGGGAGCAAGCTTGCACCATGTGCTGTAAATAGTAATACGCGGGGAAGGGACGAAAGCAGGAAAAGCAGGAAAAGAGTGAAAACCAGCCCAAGGACCAAAAAAGAGTACCGCCACAATACGCCCTCCACGATCTAGTTTATGAACTAGCCTCTCAGCCTATGTCATACGCACATTGGACATGCCTGTACATAAATGCATTGCTGCTTGCTTGATGCTTTTGAGCGACCCATGACCCAGGGTGCGCGCTACCGAAACAGTCTTCCTGACATTCTCTTCCACTCTCCGCCTGCGTCATCTGAGAACAGCGAGAGTTCAGTAAGAAAAGACCTCCCGGGGGCGGGCCCTCACCCGAACCGTCACCTTGGCATGGGTTTTGGACATTGCCAAAATCACACAGAAGCAAGACCGACAACAGGCTGGTGTACACTCCGTGTCTAGGTCCTAGGTGCTTGTGTTGTAGCAATCTGTGCAGGTGATTCCTTTTTGAAACCCCGTCCAAGCCCCTATGCAATCCGCATGCGGCAGGCACGGATGGGCTCCTGTTCCAATCAGCTGTGTGATACGGCTGGCAGTGATCATACAGAAGGAGGGACGTCAGGATCACAACCCCGAGGCAGCCTTCGTGTACTGAACAGAGATACGAACACCTCTGCCCGAAACCAAAGCTTACATCATAAACTCTACACCTTATTCCCAAAGCCTAAACTAACCCGGCCTAGCACCAAGCCTAACCCCCTATAAAGCGGTACTTGACACCCTCCAGGCCGCCCATCTGAAGGGCCGGCGATGCTGTAATCGGCAACGCAGCGGCAATCAGCATCAGCAAGGATTTCCTGCAACTCATACTGGGCTACACTGGGATCATAGAGGGATATACGGAGGTGTTGCACCCGAAATGGAGAATGTAATTGAAAGGCAAACGGAAAATTTCATGGAAGCTGGACCCTCACATGTATGTGCATATGATGCATATACCAATAGATGGCTCTCATCTCATTGCTGGTCTTCCAGGAATCGAGGAATGAAAACACGGACCCTACCCCAGGCTGTGTTTTGAGGCCCTGATAGGTTGAGGGGTTGAAGCTTGTTGAAGTTCTGCTTGTACGGTACTGCCGTCCTTGGAGGTTCATGGGTAGTTATAGGCAGGGTTATAAGCAGGGTAACTATACTTATAAGCCATCTTAGGGGACTTATAGCCCACTTATAACGACCCTTAACCCTAATCCTTAGACCCTAAATCCCTCTGGAGCCCTTTAAAGGGACCCTTAAAGGAGCCCCACTTATAACTACCCATGAACCTCCAAGTAGAGTCTGTGGAATAGGGGTGCTCCAGGGCTGAAATTAGCATGGAATGTTGAAAAGCCTGGTTGACTTGCCTCTGGTATCTTTTGGGGATTCTATAAAGGTATAGGGTAGGGAATGGAAGGGGCCTTATAAAGGGGTCTATAAGGGTTACTATAAGAGATCTATAAGGGTACTATAATATAGGGGCCTTAACAATCCTACAGCTTACCTTTGGTTAGTAGGGAATGGAAGAATCGTAGTAATAGCAGTTACAGTTGCGCCCGATTCCTCCATTCCCTACTAACCAAAGGTAAGTTGATCAGGAGAGCGGAGAGAGGGGGGTTCCTAGTTGTGCAAAGCCAGCTGGTTCTATCACAGTCTCCATGTCCTTGTTCAATCCTTCAGTCGCTACTATCAGCCGGCAACATGCTTTTTTTGCATTCTGAACGAACCTCTGAACACGAATGCTTTTGCGGGTCAATGCCAAACATTCACGGTCCTGACCAATCGCTCAGTTTCGAACAAGGCATAGAGCGGCTGGTACTTGCTTGCCAAGAAGTTGACATGCGGCGGCGGTGGAACCTGGCATCGACATCGACCGTGTCCCACTCCTTCTTAGAGGTTCATGGGACTGAGAAATTGGGTTTTACTTAGAAATTTAGGCTATACAGATTAGGGTCTAGTGATTTTGTCGTTACGGTTTGGGGATTAGACATGATAAGCCTAATAACCATACCTGCTACGTCCCCTGATCCTTTAAGTGCCGTGAAATCAGGCTCGACTGCCACACTTTCAACCGTGAACCCTGAACTGTGGGTGGGTGTGGGCGGCACTTCTGCCCCTCGCCGATCAGTACGCCAGCCCCCACCCCACAGGCATGGGGACTCCATGGGGACCGTAGCACCCACGTCGGACACGCATTCCGAAAATACCAAGCGAAACAAGACAACATACGACACCCAGGAAATGACAGTAGATTCGGGTTTGTTGTTCATTCTTAAGCGAAGAGCGAAAGACAAATGAGTGAACAGAAAACGGAACGAATGTGTGCTTTTCTTCGCTTAATAACAACCACGAACGAAACACACAAAAAACAGCAAAATAAAATGGAACGGAAGCCAAAAACCGCGCGCTTCGCTTGTGTTTTCTTCATTCTATTGCATTTAATTGATGCCTTTTAGGCTTTTGCGATTTTGAATTAGTTGTAGATGATAAAACACAAGTTTCTCTGTTCATTCGTGCTGCGGTTAAATTTCAAGAAAAGGGTGCATTCGTTCACTACGTTCTTCTCTTCGCAACGAAGACAATAGGTTCGTGTGGTTGGCCGCCTTACACGGCGTGGGGTGGGAAAAAATATCAGTCAGGCTTTGACAGTTCATCGCTGTATCACGATGCCCTCGACTTGACCGTGTAGCAAGATACTGTCGTCTATTCGCTGTTCCACGACAAACCCTAAATCCTAAACACCAAATCCTGAACCCTAAACACCAAATCCTAAACCCTGAACCAAAATCCTATACCCTAAATCATGAATCCTAAACCCTGACCCATAAAACCCAAATCCAAAACCCTAGATCCTGAACCCTGACCTTGCCCGCCTCCTTGGAGAGGGACAGGCTGACCCATGCCCACAAGGCCACGCTGAAGCACGTGGCCAGGCCCAAGAAAACCTGGCAGACTCGAACTTATGGGTACTTATAAGTAGGGTTCCTTTAAGGGATCTATAGGGTTTTGGGTTTAGGGTATAGTATGGTTATCGGGTTTAGGGGTAGTTATAAGTAGGGTTATAAGTAGGCTGACTATACTTATAAGCCATCTTAGGAGACTTATAACCACACTTATAACTACCCATGAACCTCCAAGTAGGGCTTTTGGGTTTAGGGGTTTGGAGCCTATGGTTTTGGGCTTAGGGTCTAGGGCTTTTGGGCTAAAGGGTTGAGGGTTTAGGGCTTAAGGCCCGAAGGCTTGGATTAACTCCAAGTCGCAACCATCATGGCCCCTGTAGGGTTTAGGGTTTAAGGTTCAGGGTTCAAGGGTTCGAAAGAAACAGATTCTTTTAAGGTTTATTTTGAATTTGCAATTGCCTGATAGAGGCTTGATGTGGTCAGAATCGTGCAGTTTGGGGGGGCTCTTGACCCTAAAAGTTTACACCCAAACCCCGACACCCGAAACCCTAAACCCCGAGGAGCCCCAAAAAAGAAGCCCGTAAAAGGAGCCCTTGCAGGATCTCTCTCTCTCCCTCAAAACCTAGCCTTTAAAGGGTCTCCCTTCAAAGGAGCCCTCCAAAAAAGGCAGCCTTAAAGGACCATTAAAAGCTAGCCTCAAAGGAGCCCGTAAAAGGTGGCCTTAAAGGAGCCCGTAAAAGCTAGCCTTAAAGGAGCCCGTAAAAAGGTGGCCTTAAAAAGGAGCCCTTTAAAAGGTAGCCTTCAAGGAGCCCTAAGAGGAGCCCTTGCCAACCCTCGGCCTGCAGAACACCCATGGCCCTGGGACCTTCCGGGAGGAAGGGGCACTGAAGGCCCCGCAGCCCTCCTCCAAGGTCCGGCTCGAACCGGTAGCCTGCAGGTTGGCTTCAAATGAGAGTTTCCGACAATCAGGGGTACCTCAAGGCTCCTTTAAAGGGATCTATAAGGGCTCCTTTAAAGGGATCTATAAGAGTTCCATAAAGCGTCTGAAACGAGAAGAGGGTTTAGGTTTTCGGTTTTGAAGAATGATTAGCAGGGTTTAGGGAACTTGAGTTGCTTTTGAGATGAGGAGGGTTTACGGTTTAGGGGCCAGGATTTAGGGTTTGGGGGTTTAGTGCGGTTTAGTGCGGTAACCGGCAGGTTGCGTCTCGAACGAGAAGAGGCTTTGGGGTTTAGGGCGTTCTTTTAGGAGTTTAGGAGTTCTGGGTTTGGGGTCTAAGGGTGTTAAGGGGTTTTAGGATGCCTGTCAACAGAGACCATCTCTGCAAACCATGGTGCAAAACTGAGCCCCCTAGCACACCCTAAACCCTAAACCCGATATAAACCCTATATAAACCCTAAACCCTAAACCCTGGGCACCCGGCACACCAGGTACTTGCCAAAGCTGGCCAAGATGTTCGGCAGAAAGCAGTTCAGGCCTCAGAGCATTAAGCCGGAGCCGATTGTGTCCTCAAATTCTGGAACCCTACTTGGAGCTTCATGGGTAGTCTTTAGTGGGGTTCTAAGTCCCCTAATATGCAAAGCGTACGCCGGGTAACCCCTATCCCCCGAGGCGGGTAGCTGGTGGGCAGAGTTGCTGACGCGCGGAAGGGTGGACCGGAGCGTGCGGGGGGGGCAGGTAGATAGATAGATAGTTAGTATGTGACGGACGGAAACCTCTAACCTGTAACCACCCCAAATATCTGACGGACAGATACCGACGGTCGGCAACCTCTAAACTCTGACCAGTACGACTCCTGGGGCGGGTACCTGACGGGCTGAGTTGCTGACGGGTGCAGGGGCGGACCCGAGGGGGGGGGTGGTAGATAGAAAGATAGTAGGTATCTGATAACCACCCTAGGCATCTGACCGGCAGATAGTATCTGACGGCCTGACAGGTAGAGGGGCGAGGGGGGGGTAGGTAGATAGATTGCTGACGGGCGCAGGGGCGGACCTTAGCAGGGGCGGGGGGTGTGGATAGATAGATAGTTAGTATCTGACGGACGGAAACCTCTAACCTTTCACCAGCCTAGGTATCTGACGGGCCCGAGCAGGGGGGGGGGTCCGGGTAGATATCGAGATAGTTAGTATGTGATGGGCAGAAACCTCTAACCAGCCTCGGTATCTGACGGGCAGATAGTATCTGACGGGCGGTAAGCTCTGACCAATTTGCTGACGCACGCGCGCAAGGGTGGACTGGGGTGGGCGGAGGGGCAGACCCTGGCAGGGTGGTGGGTAGACAGCTAGATAGCCAAGCAAAGAAACGCAGGTAGGGGTAGATAGCTGAAGAGAAACAGGTTGCTTTCAATAGCCATTCAGGAAGATATTGATGGAGAGGTAGGCGCATATGTCTGTCTAGCTGTACGTCCGCAGCCATGCAGCATGAACGCCTGTCAGGGCAATTATTGGACGTAGAGCTACAAGGAGAATCATGACGCATGCGTGGAAATAGCAGCGGTAAACAGGCAGAAGGACATCATGTCATGCACATGGCAATCTAGCAGCAAACAGTCCTGACATGTCATGGTGCAGAGAGGGAGATGCAGACATCCAGAACAAAAAGACGCACCCTTTGTCCCTCTGCTGGCGCGTTTAGTCCAGGAGCAAAAGGCGGTGAGCCCCAAAGCAAGTACCGCAAGAATACCAATCTGCTCCGGCGAGGGTATCCGTACGGATGCTGCGGGAGTCGCACGGCGGTATCCAGGCGCAGTGGACATGACACACGTGCGCCGACTTGGCCGTCAGCTTATGTACCGTGCGGCTGGCCTCATTGACCACCACGTCCGTACACTCAAAAAATGAGCGGGATGCCACACCAACCGGCGGATCAACCGCGACATTGCGTGGGCTCGGCTCTTCCTGGCCGGAGTGGCCAACGGACCGAGCAGTGGAGGATGCTGCGGTTGTGACACCCTCGCAGGTCGTCTGCAGGAACTTCCGCTTCTTGCTGGTAGCAGGCTGCCCGCATGCCGCTGGCGGAGTTTTTCCGCGAGAAGAAATCACGCGATCTGGCAGGGTGAACGGAGTTCTTTGGGCTGGAGCATACTTGGCGTAGGCGTCGGCACAGCGGTTGCACGCATTATGGTCGTGTGAGAAGAGCAGCCGCTGCAGGTTGAAGTGCACGGAATGGCAGCTGCTGAGATTGTTTGCCAGCGGTCAGCGATACTGAAAACCTGCTCCGCGGCCTCTGTGTCGATGCCCACCAACTCCGGACATGCCTATGGACAGCTGCCAAGTGACTTCGAAGATTTCTACTTACATGCAGGAGGAGGGGTACTACGTTCTAGTTGCCGTCAGCATGTAATGTACTGGCCAACATTCCTGCCAAGCGACATGAGGGTTCACATCCGGGTTGTCATTTGGAGCGTCCTCCCTGCGGCAGGTGTGACCATGGAAGTGCAGCTTGTCCAAAACCCAGTGCAGGGACGCTAGTCTGCGCCAGCATGCTGCAGCCGGCCCTGCTCCGAGCGCGGAGGAAGGGCAGCTGACGGGGACAGATAGTATCTGACGGGCGGAAACCACTAACCTCTAACCGGTCGGTATCTGACGGGGGCAGATAGTATCTGACGGGCGGAAACCTCTAACTTCTAACCGGCCGGTATCTGACGGGGACAGATAGTATCTGACGGGCGGAAACCTCTAACTTCTAGCCGGTCGGTATCTGACGGGGACAGATAGTATCTGACGGGCGGAAACCTCTAACCTCCAACCGGTCGGTATGTGACGGGGACAGATAGTATCTGACGGGCGGAAACCTCTAACATCTAACCGGTCGATATCTGACGGGGACAAATAGTATCTGACGGGCGGAAACCTCTAACTTCGAACCGGTCGGTATCTGACGGGGACAGATAGTATCTGACGGTCGGAAACCTCTAGGCTCCAACCAGTAGGTATCTGACGGGGGGTTAGAGTAAGAGGTTATGTGAGGTACATTATGCTAATATGGATTATAAGTATAGTTACCCTACTAATGATCCTACTTATAACTACCCATGAACCTCCAAGTAAACCGTCCCGAAACCCTTTAAACCTGAACTTTGCACATGAAAATCCAAGTCTAAACCCCAATCCCTAAACCCCAAAGACATCCCAATCAAGGACTCAGGGGCGTCTGCACGCGCTCGGGATTTTGGCTTCCAAAGAGACTCCCGAAGCAGGACCGAGGGTTTTTCGCGTTTAAGGCAGAGGCTCACGGGCTGAGGCCTCGGGGTTCGGGACAGGGGGCTTCCGGCTTAATATAGGTGGCTTGAGAATTTGAATAAGGTTTTGGGCCCCCTTATACTATAATAAGGAACTCCCCAACATAGTATAAGAAATATATACATATATATATATATATATGTATAGAGGCCCCCCCAAGTAGGCCCTTAATTTTTTCCTAAATCCCGACAAACTCTCCGTGCAGCTCGGCCGCCGGCAACAAGGGCAACTCGGCTGTCCTTCATGGGAGGCCAAAAGGGGGGTTTAAGATTCTTGGGGTAGGGAACCCTATTATGGGAACCCCAATCCCCACTACCTTTTGGCCCCGTATGATGTCCTTCAGTGCCAAGGCAGAAGTCAGTGCTGCCGCAACAGCCTTGCTTTCTTCCCAGAGACTCCGATACCCCTGCAATTGAGGAATAGACCTTAAAGCCTTAAGTCATAGTAGGGATCCTACTACAATTTAAGGTATATTCCTTAATTTCAGGGATATTGGAGTCTCTGGGTTCGGGTGTGTCCATGTTTTCGGGTTTAGGGTTCAGGGTTTAGGGGAATCTGAAGCGACTCAAGGAATCCTTCGTAAAAGGGATCTCTCCGGTTCCCTTCGACCGCTTTGTTTCCTTCTCTTCTCGTCGACTATCTGCAGACGAGAGACCACATCGAGCAGGTGAGCACCCCACAAGGTCTTTCGCAGGCCAATGTAGGCGAGCAAGCACTGCGAAGAAGCACCACCAGCACCTCTGGAAGAACCCTCAAGAGGAACGATAAGGGCTCTCCTATACGAGCTCTCCTTTAGAAGCTGCCCCCACCCTGTAATGCTGACTATAAGGATTATACTAGGGCCCTATTATATTCCTATTATACCACTATTACAGGGTGGGGGCCCCTTCTACATTATAATCCTTTATGGAAACCCCAGCCCCTGGCTGCGACGCGAGGCTCGGTTCGAAAATTTGCCTGCACATCCCCGGAACCAAAAGATGCTAAATCCTAAACCCTAAATCCCAAACCGTCCGAAACCCTATAATACCCTTCTACCCTAAACCCTAAACCCCTAAACCCTAAACCCTAAACCGCTAAACCCTAAACCCTGAACCCTGAACCCTTAACCCTTAACCCTAAAACCCTACACCCGAAAGGACTCAAGAGTTGAGGCACTGAATTTTCAATGAAACATACTAGCCCTGAGCAGGTGGTCCAAAAGCATTCCACTTGACGAAGAGCTCCCTTTTGGATCCGTTACAGGGATCCGTTACAGGAACCTTTGAAAGACACTATAATGGGCTTACTGTCGGGGCTATATAATCTTTTATATGAACCCCAAAACCTTTTGGATCGTAGAAAAGGAACCTTTAAACGCAGCACTAGGTCCAAAACATCGTGGCTACGGAATCGACTTGGGCCTCCTCCAGAACCTATTTCTGCAACAGCCAACGTGGTGCCGAAGACGAACATTACCTGGCCGTCTAACAGAATACAGGCTTAGCGTTTAGGTTGAGGGTGGCCGTCTAATATAATACAGGTTGCTTTGAGGTTCCTGCAAAAAGGCACTATAAGGATTGATATTATGCTTCGATGATATAGCAGCCTTCATGATTGGAATCGTGGGGAGTGCAAGTTAATGTAGCCCGTGATAGAGAACCCTGAAATTCCTTAAGGAATACTATTCAAACAGAACCCAACCTTTACATGGGGAGTGCAGCGGAGGAAAGGGAAGGGGAGGAGAGGGGAGCTGAGGGGAGAAGGAAGAACGGTTGCCCAAGTTGCAAGCCAAGAAGCCGCGGAGCTTTGCCTGCGTCCGTTAGATAACTGTGGTGACATGTGGATATATATGAGGGCAGGATCAAATCTAAGGGGCTTACAGCAAGATACCATTTATAAGCAGGCCATGTCATTCAAAACATATCCTTGTGATTCACAGTATCTTATTCTAAACTCCTCAACAGCAATCCAGTTGCATATCTTTGGCGGTGTCTGTCTGCATTGCCGCTGTCAGCATCATCATAGAGACAGTCGCGAAGGCCATCAATTGGTTTAAGTAAACTCCGCTTTGCTTCACCTCATCCGCCTTGGATGTACAAGAACAGAAGCAAAACTAAGACAAGTTGGAATGCTGCCGGCTGCTGCAGCTTTATCGGCCACAGCCCTGCCCTCACAAGAAATCGACGACGCGTGCATCACACTTGACGGAAACCGCTCCGGCAAATGTAACACTGCCACGCCCGCACAAACTTTGGACACCAGAGACACCCGGGGAAGTGTATATGCAAACAACGGATGTTCAAGATGAGAAGAGCACGGCGTATACCCCAAGGACCCTGCGGTGCTTGGATTTGGGGATGCGACCCGGCCAAAAGTCTCGCAGGAAGCCTAAACGATGTCCAAGTATGCAATAACACATGTAGTGTAGTACGGTTTAGATTAGTATAGTATAGTATAGTATAGTATTATTCCGTTTAGTCTAGTGTAGTAAAGTAGAGTATAGTCTCAAATATGAGCAGATAATAACAGACACAAGATGCCGCCAAGCAGTTACCTGCAACCGAAAATCCGAACGGGCTCCCAGGGCACTCATGGCCGAGAGAACAAAGAGGAAGGTCCGCTGTCCCAGGAACACCACCCAGCGCAACAGCTGCTTGCGAGGATTCTCTTCGCAGGCGGTGCCTTAGATCAAAGTCTGCCACTGATCACGGTCCACCATGCTCTGCAGATTCATTTGAAAACCAGTTTGCGCGGCAAGGCGCAGGCAAGTATGCTGCTGTCCGCCCTCGCAAACTCTTCGGCACAGCTGGTGCATCCTCTGCCCACGTAGCCCTTCGCCTGGGTTCTTGGTAAGCTACCCAGTTTAAGGGAACTTAGCCTAAGATACCAGAAAAAGCACATCCAAGTAAAATAGATTCCAGCTTAAACTAAGCTCGTTAACCTCTAACCCTAAAGGATCCCCACTATGGCAACTTAAACCCTAAAACCCGAAAGCCTAAACCGAAAGACCCCCTATAGAACCCTAACAAAAACCTATTAAAAACCATAAAACCCTAAAACCTAATTAAACCTAAAACCCTAAGCCCTGAACCCTAAAACCCTAAGCCCTAAATCCCTAAAACCCTTTAAAGGAAGCCCCAGAGATGGCAACTTAAACCCAGTAGCACACATGGGCCGCTTCCCATTCTCCGCAGGAGGGAGGAGACCTCCTGGGCACGCTTCCTCAAGGAGCAAGCGGAACTAGGGGTTCCTTTAAAGGGCATCCTAGGGGTTCCTTTAAGGCTTCTTTAAAGGGCATTCTAGGGATCTCTAATCTCGTCGAGGCCTGGCAGAACGCCTCCCAAAAAAGATCCCTAAAGGGATCTAGAAGGGGTTTCGGGTTGAAGCCAAAAAACCCTCAAGGTATCTGTAAGGGGTTTGTAGGGCTTAAGGTTTAGTTTACGATTTAGGGCCGGCTAAGGTGTAGGGTTTGGTGTTTGAGGCTTGGGGTTCTCGGATCTGTGGGTTTACGTTGCAGATGACATTTCAAGCAGAGACTGGGACCCGGAATGGCCTACTGTACTATACCATATGATACAATACTATACGATACTCCAGTGTACTGTACTATGCCATACTATACTATACTACTGGGTAGTTGTCAAAATTGTGGTCCTTTTTGGGGTACCCCAAATAATAGGTGCCGTATATTGTCGTATTATAATAGGGAGCCGAAAAGGGACCATAATTTTGACAACCACCCTACTATCCCTTAACTAAGGAATATACCTAAGGGATCCTTTAAGGGGATCTATGTGCCATACAAGCCCTAAACCCTTAGACCCTAAACCCGAGACCCTAAACCTAAACCTAAACCCTAGACCCTAAACCCCAAACCCTATACCACACTATACCATACTACTACACAATGCGGGGGCGCCTGGTTTGGGCAGTGCAGGGGTCTGCTGATTTCGTGCTCCTCCACCATCAGCCCGGACCTGTGCAAGCTCAGCCAACAAGGGTTTAAGGTTTCGGGTTTAGGGGTTTAGGGTTTAGGGTTTAGGGCTCTTGTTCGGGAACTTAAATAATTTGTGTAGATAAAGCCAAAAAAAATAAAAGTTGAAACTTTCAGAATCGACTACCTTACAAGAACCGCAAAGCTGAAAAGTTGAGTTTACAGTCAATGTGTAATTTCAGTTGCCCAAATAGATCTACAGTAAATAATATGACTCACATGTTATCGCAACCCGGAGGTTCCCACGGAAGCTGAGAAAAGGACTCCTTCAGAACAGACTTCGGCCCAAACACGCAAAACGAGCAGCCATGAATGACAAGGGGTGGTGATGGAGATGGTGATGAGCGTCTTGGTGATGATGATGATGATGATGGTGATGGCGATGATGATGGTGGTGGTGATGGTGATGATGCTGATGGTGGTGATGATGATGATGGCGCGCATGATGGTCATGATGATGGTGATGGCGACGACATCACTAGAACAATACAAAGTAACAGTAGTAACAGTCGTAGCAGTCGTCGTCGTCGACGTGGTCGTGGTGGTCCTTGTCGTGGTGGTGGTGGTGGTGGTGGTGGTGGTGGTGGTCGTCGTGGTTGTAGTAGTAGTAGTAGTAGTAGTAGTAGTAGTAGTAGTAGTAGTAGTAGTAGTAGTAGTAGTAGTAGTAGTAGTCGTAGTAGTAGTAGTAGTAGTAGTAGTAGTAGTAGTAGTAGTAGTAGTAGTAGTAGTAGTATAGTAGTAGTAGTAGTAGTAGTAGTAGTAGTAGTAGTAGTAGTAGTAGTAGTAGCAGTAGCAGTAGCAGTAGCAGTAGCAGTAGTAGTAGTAGTAGCAGCAAGAGTAGTAATAGTAGTAGTAGTAGTAGTAGTAGTAGTAGTCGTAGTAGTAGTAGTAGTAGTAGCAGTAGCAGTAGCAGTAGCAGTAGCAGTAGCAGTATCAGTAGCAGTAGCGGTAGCAGTAGCAGTAGCAGTAGCAGTAGCAGTAGCAGAAGCAGTAGCAGTAGCAGTAGCAGTGACCTCTGGCCGGCAGCAGTGCACAGGTGGTGGAGCCGCCTGAGCACAAATGCACGAGACCTGCAGAAACAGGCACCACGTTTCTGGCAGTCGACACCCTCGACTCAATCCACGGTAGGCCAGCTGATCCCTGTACCCGAATCCACAGCACAAGTTGCCTGCCCTGATTGTGGATTATATTTCGGTAGCCTCACACACATGCGCAGACATCGCAGCCAGAAACATAGGCCTACGCCAGATGAAGCCCAAGACAACACGCCTGCCCCGGTCCCCAACCAACAACTCCGAGACCTGTACATGCCCCTGGTTTCTGCAGCACTTTGCGCATGAGAGATGCCCTGCCCTTCAGCCCGCAGCTACTGGCACGGCCACACCTGAGGACCCGAACACTGCGCCTGTTGCTGAACATCTAGGTCCGACCGACGCAGACACCAGCCTAGTCAACACAACAGCCCGCCCAATAATGCAGACTTCTGGGCCTCAGCGGTCACCTGACTCTGCGGATGAACCCGATCATCCCCTGCTGAAGCTTGATCCGGAACTGGTGCAATTAGCATGTGCCAAAGACTGGCGGCCCTTAGCGCAACACATCCGACGATCTGACCAGCACCACTGCCCTTTCTGTCAGCAATGGTTGGCTAGACCTACCTATTTGTCTAGGCACTTAAGCAAGCAGCACGTCAAGATTTATCAAATACATGACCGGGTGCAGCAGTGGCTCACAGATCGCTCCACGGCCATCGGGCACCCCTGCACGTTCTGCCACACGGCCTACAAGGCCAGTCACACCAGCAAACCGACATGCACTTGCCTGCACCACTTGCATATCCTTGCCCTCACCTTGCCACAGGTGGACCACGCTGACGATGGACCTGAACCTCACGGAGCCCCAGCTGAAGGAGCTGGCCAATGCGGAGGGGCAAGCGGGACTGATGCAAGCTATGCTTCAGAATTCCTCCTCCAGCACCCTGGGGGTCATGGCCAAGAACCTGGCCTCGGAGCTCGACGATCGCCAGAAGCAGACCGAGCCCATGGACACGACCCAGAGGGACGGCAAGCGCGGCAGCTCCCAGCAACGGGAGGACCAGCGCCCAGGCAAGGGTCACCTCGCGAAGTGGCACCGCGGAGCCAACAAGGGGGGCTCTGGAGGTGGCTGGTCAGGCAACCGCGACTGGAAGGACCAGCGGGAGGACAGCAAAGGCACGGAGAAGAACAAGGAGAAGGACAAGGCGGAGGAGGACGACTGGTTCCAGGAGCAGGGAATCCAGGCAATGTCCAACCGACAGCTTCGCGAGCTGATCGGCATGATGGCTCGCCTCCTCTTGAGGCACAGCGATCAGATGAGCATCGATCGCTGCGAGTCCGGCTTCATGCTCTTCCTCCAGGCCCAGGGCATGCTGACCATAGTCCCGGACTTGTTCCAGGTGACGCAAGTCTGGAAGGCCAAAGCCGAGCAGCCGGAGACGATCAAGTTGCCCCTCCGAGCTGTGATGTTTAAGCACATCCTGGATGTGCTTCTGACGAGGCTCGATGCCTGCCAAAAGTCCGAGACCAGCCTGAAGGAGGCCCGCGAGATGATGATCTTCGACGAAAACAACAACATTCCCTACCTGGAATGGAACGCGAGCCAGAAAACCTTGCAGGTAGCAAGGACAAAGAGGCCCTTCCCCTCACCGAGGCCGTGCGCATCCTCCAGGACCTCCAGCGACTGGTGCTTCTCCCCTTGGTGATTATGAAGTTCCACTCCACGCGGAAGCTGGTCAAGGAGCACAAAGGCGAGGTCTTGCCGATGATGCTGCAGCTGGGATTCAGGACACCGGAAGCCCAGCTGGCCTGGAACCACGTTGCAAGGCTGGCACACAGCGGCCTCTTCCGCACGTGCGTCTTCTCGCTTCGAGGCGAGAAGATGGGTCGCAGCGCTCTGGAAGTGGCACTCCAGCAGATGATCTACGATCCGTCCGTCGTCTAAATTTGCCCAACCCCTCCAACTTCTGCTATAGCATGCCAGCCTTTTGGCCATCCTTTGGACGCACTTTTCGCTGCCCTGCCAAGGTATCAGGAGCTGTGAGCTTCTCGGCGCCTCCATGCGATCCATCTGGAGCTGGCTGCAAAGACAGGCCCGCCCGGAAACGCCGTGGCAACACCTCGCCTGGCGAGCCCTACATAGCGGTTGGAGTAGTCCCGCTAGGCAACATGATGTGGGCGAATACCTTACCTTCCTGAAACCTCACTTAGGCCTAGCCGCAGTTGGAGCTTGGGAATCCAGACTTCAGATGGAAGATCAGCCTGTCAGGTGTGTGGAGTCGGGTGACACCTGGCCACTCATCCTGCAAGAGCCACTCGAAGGACAGCCGCATAACTCTGCTGCACGTGTCAGCCTGCAATCAATCTTGGACACCTGGTCGCTCTCTCAGGAGGGACAGCCGGGCCTAGTGAAGCTGCCAGCAGTGCTGTGTCTGCAGGTCAATAGGTTTAACCTAGGCCTATTACATAGCACCAAATCTGCCCTTCCCATAGAGCCTGAGCTAAACCTCCAAGTACCATGTTACCCTGCCGACCTGACAGCCGGGGATGCACTGCAGCACAGCTATGAGGCAATATCAGCGAGCTGCTGCAATTTTGCACATAGGGCCGAGAAGCACCGAAGGACACTACAGAAGCATGCTGTATTCACCCACAGGCCCCGAGACCTACCTCACGGATGATAACCAATCAGCCTGTGTACCCACCGAAGCCCAATACAGCCTCTGCCTTCAACAAAGTTATGTGGTCCTCTATATTCGGTGTCGTGATGGCCCAGGCATCTGAGCTTCCCTGCTGCAGCCTGCAGAACACCCTAAGGTAAGCCTCCAACCCTGTGTTCGTTGCACTCCTTGTACAGCACTATAGGAAACCACGCATCTAATGCAGCAGGTTAGAGCAGCCGCGAGTTGGTATCCCTGCCAAGTGGGGCTTTCGAGCCGGGGGATGCCGCTCTTCCTTTTGAGAGATCTCAAAAGCAGGTCTCGCGCATAGCGCGCCGGGGTGGTGACCCTGTCAATCCACACGGGTTCGCCAAGCGAGGATCGAGATTTCTTCGCCGCGTCTGGAAGAAGAAGCAGTAGCAGTAGCAGTAGCAGTAGCAGTAGCAGTAGCAGTAGCAGTAGCAGTAGCAGTAGCAGTAGCAGTAGCAGTAGCAGTAGCAGTAGCAGTAGCAGTAGCAGTAGCAGTAGCAGTAGCAGTAGCAGTAGCAGTAGCAGTAGCAGTAGTAGTAGTAGTAGTAGTAGTAGTAGTAGTAGTAGTAGTAGTAGTAGTAATTATTAGTAGTAGTAGTACTAGTAGTAGTAGTAATTATTATTAGTAGTAGTAGTAGTAGTAGTAATTATTAGTAGTAGTAGTAGTAGTAGTAGTAGTAGTAGTAGTAGTAGTAGTAATTATTATTATTATTATTATTAGTAGTAGTAGTAGTAGTAGTAGTAGTAGTAGTAGTAGTACTGTAGTAGTAGTGCTAGTTGTACTCGCAGTAGAAAGAACGGCAATAACCATAGTTAACATCACAGTAGTCTGGATAGTAGCAACAGCACTAACAAATTAAATCACAAACAACAATCATCGCCATCATCTTCAACATCGTCGTCGTCGTGGTCATCTTCAGCATTGTTTTCGTAGTTATGCGAGCAGTTGTCATCGAAACGGCTCGGCAGTGTTAGTCTTGCCACATTGTTCAGTCTTGTTCCGAGCGCTCCCTATGCAGAGCCCCCAAGTACCTAACTGCCTAAACCCTAAACCCTAAACCCTAGGCAATGGCCATGACCTGCATCATCGTCTCTTCAATCCCTGGTCTGTAGTCTATGTAGGAACCTGATTAAGAAACCGGGGGCTTTATTAGGGTTCTATAAGGGTTCCTTGAAAGGGATCTGTATGTAAGGGATCTATAAAGGGTTTAGGGTTGAGGGTAGGAACCTGACTAAGAAACCTTGGGCC